GATGCTCTGTCACTTATTGCTTTCATTTCCTCCCTCAGAGCGTTTCCATGAGCACGATCAATGGGATAGTGACGGCCTCCATTTGCAGCGACCATTGCCTCGATTTTCTCAAAAAGCTTTTCAACTTGACTGCTGTCCTCCCTGTTACTCACACAGAGGGCATGTTTTCTATTTCCACATTGCTCAAGAATCCACTGCATTTCTGACCACATACTGATTTTGAAGTTGATATTTTGTTTTTCCCATGGATCTTCAGCAGTGAACAGTACGATGGTGTGATTCAAGGCATCCCTGTGGAAAAGTTTCAGGTGCTCGTTTAAAGATGATATGAAGATCTGGGGCAAAAAAAAGCTATGATGAAAGACCAGAAGAAAGGCGTGAGGTCCTGGGGGACACAGATGGACGCTGTTCTGGATTTCTATCTGATCCAGCTTTGGGGTGTTTTCTAGTGGATAGTGCCACCACCAGCCTGGAGTGTCCACCACAGTGACCCGTCTGCCATGCACCTCCTGCTGCCCCGCCACACTCTGGGCAGTTCTTCTGCTGGTGTCAAAAACATTTTGACCCAGTATGATGTTACCGCTCAGACTCTTATTACTGGGCTCTCCTGTTAACTCTCTGCCACCTATCAGCACGATCCTCAACTCTGGAGAGTCGTGACTGTGCCCTGCAACACAGATGCAGCACTGTTTACAAACTGTAAAACTAGAAAAGTGTCTTCATACAGAATTTATGGACACGTTTGTGTAACTGCAAGCACTAGTAAATAAAACTGTGAAAACAATGTGAGTAGATAGCAGTGGTATGTTTGCTTAGCTTGTTGTCCACCAGATTAAAAGCCAAGATGACAGAGGTGTGAAATAAAATGATGTTTTATACATACAGAATAATCTGTAAATGATATCTCTGTTAAGCACTGAGTACTCTACTGAACACTGTGGAATCTAAGCACAATCAGACATGCGACACTGAGAGTCACTTCCCTGTATGCAAAGACACGGCCAGTAACAACTGAGTCTGATTAAAAATGTGCTTCCTTGTTATGTTAACAAATAAATCAAAACAGTCTTATATTCCATTTCTATATACAGGTTTCATGAACAGAATAATATTTACCAGAGCTGGGAACAGCACGCTCATCAGCCATTGTTTAACTAAAGTGAAACAAAGAACAGGAAAGGCAGAACTCAAAGAACCAGTTTTGATCATCTACAAGCTGTTTTCTTAAAGGAGAAATACCAAATATTTACTTTAGAAATGTGGTGATATTCTTTTTAAAATCACTTCAGTCTAAGGAAACAGCTGAGAAATAAAGCCATTGACATCTATCAGTCTGGAAAGACAAATGGAGAAGATTTGGAGCATAAAAGATGTCATAAAAGAACCAGAACAACATTTAAAGAACTGCAGGCCTCACTCACCTCAGTCAATGTCAAAGTTCATGATTCAACAATAAGAAAAAGACTGTGAAAAATGGCGTCCATGGGAGAGCAAAAAGAACACAAAGGTTCGTATCATTCCCCAAGAAATATATTAAATAAAAGAATTTTAAATTGAAATTATACATATTATATATAAACTAATAGTCTATGAACTGATGAGGAAAAAAGGTTCATTTTTTGGAAGTCAAACGTGGTGGTGGTAGTGCAATGGTCTGGTGCTTCTTTGCTGCACAAGGTAGAGGCTGCTTTGCAGATTTCGGCAGTGACTTTTATATATCCTTTATTTATCTGGCTAAAAAGTGTCATTGACATAAAAAAAATGTATTTTTTTTAAAGAAAGATCTGGCCAAGAGGGAAGCAGAAATTGTAAAAATAAATAAATAACAATAAATAGTTTTATAAACATACTTTAAGTGACTAAGAAGGAAAACGTTGATTATAATATAATATAATATAATATAATACAATATATATTAAAATGCAGAATCATAAACATATCTTTATTTTATATATAGCCCCTTCAAAAATCATTTTTACTACAGTCTATTTACCAATAAATTCAATGAATTTATTCAGCACCAAATCACAAGAGCAGTCGCCTCAAGGCGCTTTTTATTTTAAGGCAGACCCTACATACAGAGAAAACCCAAAAATCATATGACCCCCTATTGGCAAGAACTGGCGACAGTAGGAAAAAAAACCTCCCTTTTAACAGGAAGAAACCTCCGTCAGATCCAGGCTCAGGGAGGGGCGTCTGTCTGCTGCGACCGGTTGGGGTGAGAGAAGGAAGACAGAACCAAAAACATGCTGTAGAAGAGATCCAGATATATATTTATACTTCCCCAGTCTATGTACACTAACAGACCAGTTGCCATTTCTTTAATGTGAAGGATGTGGACGTCCTGGAGAGGGAGGAACAGAGGGACGGAGAGCAACACAGGTCATTTACATGAAAGGGGAAAGATATCTAGGCCCCTTAAGTGTACCTCTATCTCCAACTTACAATGCTGTGATTGCGTCCACTCCCCAACTCTCTGAATGGTACTCATGGTCAATCAATGGTACAATCATGAAACTGCCCATTGTTAGACATTGTTAGTTTCACCTATTATGCAAATGTAGTGTTTAAAAGGTTGGGGAAACCTGCAGTCAGCTGAGAGTGAAGAAGTCACTTGGATGAGTATTGAAATGGTTTTTCTGCTGAAAAAGTCCAGGAAAACAGGATCAACTTCTAGGTTTGTAATTTTTGTTTATTCTCTTTAGTGACAGGGTTTTAAATCTGTGCTAATATTAGTGTTTTCTTAGAAAAACTTACTGACAGTGGAACAGTAGGCTGTGAAAGTCTGGGTGAATATAGTTATATAAATAAAGGTAGGAAACTTTGAAGTTAATTTGCCTTCTTTTGGTTGTATGGGTAACAGGTTAGAGTGACGCTCAGTCGGGTCTCAAAAGACTGAATAAGCACAAAATATACCAAAGTGAACTGGTTCCTGACTCAATCATTCTTTCAGGTCATAGACTTGTTTTGCTCTTCCTTATCCAGGTTAAATGAGCTTCAGTAACAGGGTTGCTGATATGTTTTTGGGGAAAAACATTTATTATTCTTCATCTTTAACATATTGATGTGATGAAAAAATGGTGTAACAATATAAAAGACACAATTATAAAATGAATTGTAATTGTTTGACATGAAATATGGTTATCAAGAAGTTGGGATAAAATGTAAAAAAAAAAAATAAAAACAGCTTCTTGATCTATTTTGTATTTTAAATATTTTGGAACCATTTTTTAACAACTAGCTTTTGCTTTTCTCCCAATAAGTGTAATTTACACAAAAAATATATATTTTAATAGCTTTTACGTGGATGGATGGGATATAATTTTGTGAAACGTGAAATGCTCACACTAGAGGGAGCTGTCGTTATTTTACCTCTCCGTTGAAGGCGACGCCACACGCCATCTTTGTTATGGGCGGACTAGGACAGCTGATGACGAAGGCGTTTTCTTCCCTGTGATTGGTGGACTGACGCTATGCCAAAGGTCGTGTATATTTCGCGCTCTTGAGTCACAACCGAACTGGCGCGCTATTGAAACAGCCGCAGTATGTGAAGAAATACGAACCTTTGGTTCGGTTTCGGAGCAGTTCGGAAAATATCCGTGTAACCTTTTAGCACTTTGCCTTCTTATATACTTGTCTGACACGCCGGTAAATGTTTGGAGCACTTCTGGGATCTGTGGGAAGCTTTTAGACTAGCATCTAGCGAAGACAGCTAGCTTGTTGTTTTACAGTAACATATTTCTTTTGGCACCAAACAGACTCACGCGATGATTTTATGTTTAGTTGTTTGTTCAGTCAGTCGTAGACGTGAATGACAAACCTTTGCAGCAAGTTCCGGTTCGGCTTCATCGGTGAGTGTTTCCTTTGTTTACGTAGTTTCTCTCTCTTATGTCGCACAAAACTGGAAGTTCCTGGGCGCCATGTCAGGAATAATATCATTTTACAGCTTAGTTGTTGTTCGCGAACACCATAAGTAACAGACACGTGAGCCTAGTGTTTATCAGCCTTTTCATACTGACAGTGCTTTAGCAAAACTTCTACTTGGCTGTCGTGACATTGACAAAAAGCGCTGACAGAACACTACTTTAAAGAAAAGGAAAGGCTTTGTGTTATCACTTGTAAATACACTTAGTGTTAAAGTAATTATTAATATTTCTGAATGTAAATACCACATGCTTTTTATCACAATGTCAAAACATAATAAACGCTCGTAATCCGCGCAACAAAATAAAAGGAAAACGGCTAAATCATCCAGAACATACCTGAATGCAGATGCATCATATAAGTACAACTAACCTGCACGTAGCTTTATTTTAATTGTTGATTTTCATTTCCCCCCCTTTCTTTCCCCATTGTTATTTTTCCGGGTCCTTTTTTTTTCTTGCCACCAGACTCGCTGCCTGGTGATTGTAGTGAATTTTTCACATTCAGCGACTGATTGCAACTTGTGGTAACTAAAGATTGCCCACTCACGACCAATTTTGATTGCACAGGTTGCCTAGTAGGAGGCAACCTTTTTGCAGTCAGTCTGACTTTGACTGCCTGCCATTACTCGTTTAAGGTTTGCAAATAGTTACATCTAATTTATAAACACTGAGTTATTGTTGGTTATTGTAAATATTGGATATTTACAAAGTTTAACTTTGAGGTCATCATTTGCAGTTAACAAAAGGTTCAAAGATCTCAATATATGTTAATGAAATACTCGGCAAAAATAAAATAAAAACATCAAAAAGTATTGTGATAATATCATGTCTGGTGAGTCCCACCTGTAGCTTGTAGTTATTATTTTCTCTAAAAATGGTAAAGTCACAGAGGAGGAGAGACAGCTCCTTGGCAGGAATCAGTATGAGGGAAAATTAGAAAATGTCAGGTGACAGGATGGCTGGGTCTCTGGGAAAAGGAAAACAGTTAAACTTTCACCTGAATCTCTGATGTGCCTTTGCTGATCTGTTCTTCTGCAGAGTTGTGTGTAACAGTGTTTTATTTATTTCTGCTTTAGGTCTCGTCAGAAAATGGCTGGTGTTGTGGCTATGCCTTCTGTCATTGAGGACTTTGACAGCCAGGTGTGTTATGACACTGATTTGAGCAGCGCATCAAATGCACCAACTATTTTTAACTGCCTTGCATTTTTATCTTTGATTAAATTTGTCTTTCTTTTGCAGCCTTGCAAGAAATCTCGCAAAGATGGTGGCAGTCCTGTTGTCAAAACAATCACCAACTATTTCTCTCCTGTGCCTAAGCCTATGGAGAAACCCTTCTCTCCTCCACGTTCCAACAACATCATGAACTACTTTAGCAAGAGGGCTCCATCCTGTAAAGTGAAAACCAGCTCACCAGAGCAAACTAAAGAAGCAGGGAGGCCTCATTTTGCAGAAAAACACAACAATTCGGAGACGGTGAAACAGCTGTCTCAGAAACGGGGTCGAAAAACCAGCAAAGCTGCAAGGAAACTTGTGGGGGCTGAAGGTGTCAGTTCCACCGAGGAGTCAAGTTGCGTGACTGTACAAGAATCCCATGAAAGCAAAGACCAGGCTGTAGATGCAGTTAAAAGTTTTGGAGTCCTTGGCAGCGATACAGCAGCTCTACTGGCCCAGGTTAGTGCTGAGAGCTGCATTCCTGCAGAAACATCAGAGAAGAATGCCACTAAGATTATCACGGATGAGCAGGCTGAGAAAGATGATGATCAGGAAGATGGTTCTAAATGTGTTGAACTTAAAACAGCACTAAACACTATTGAGTTGTCTCCGATTGTACCATCAAAGTATGAAGCAAAACAGGTTAAAACCACACCACAAAATACCAGGAAGAGGCAGCAACAAGAGGCAAAGCAGTCAGAGGCAGAGGAGAAAGAAGCAGAAACTGAGAACTCGCTCCGTGATGTAAGCACGGAGGTCAATGTTGATGAGTCTTCTCAGTTGAACAGCAGCACAGTAAGAATCTCCTTTGAGGATTTTGTGCGGAGTCAGAATCAGGATGAGGCTGAAGAGGACAGAGAAGATGAAGAAGTAAAAGATGATGACCATAAAATTAAAATTGAGACAAAGGAAACAAACTTGGGTGAGCTGGATATTTCCAAATCTGAAGAAAACACGGTTCCTAAGGAGTCGCCATCATTTCAGGTTTCACCCCGAACTGTCACCATCCAGGCTCAAGTGCACGTCTCACCAAAACAAGAACCAAGCAAAGCAGTGGGAAAGTTGGCTTCCATCTTCAACCGGAGAAAAGGCGGGCGTAGTCCTGCAGAGAGATTCTCACCTTCTCTCGCAGAAGCTGGACACCAGCTTCCTTCTCTGACTACCAAACGGAAATCCAACGTGGTTCTCCAGGAGGAGGATCTAGAGCTGGCAGTGCTCGAGAGCGAATCCACTCCTAAGTACAGTGAAGTCGAGAGGAAGCAGTTCATGGCCGCTTTTAAGCAGCCCACTGCAGACTGCTCCAAATCCAAGCCTGTCAAGAGCCAAAGCAAGCAGAAGCAACCAGAAGAGCAAAGTTTGGATGCTGCTGATAAAGCTGCTGAAGCTGAAACTGAAAATCTGCTGACTGTTGAGCAAACATCTCAACCCTCTCAAGGAAAGAAAGCCACTAAGAAGAAACCAGCAAAAAAGGGGGGAAAGAAAGCTAAAGAGGGAGAGGAGACTGTGAGTGCGTCTCCTGATGCTGCTGCTGAGGAAGAAACGCCAAACATGACTGTTGAGGTCGAGGAGAAAAGGCCAGAGTCTCCCATCACCATATCTCCGTCCATGCCAGCTCTGAGAAGATCCAGACGGGAGGCCGTAGTGCAGAAAACATCTGAAACCACCCCAACAAGTCCTCTCAGAAAAACCAGGAGACAAACTCAAACAAAGTCAAAGGACACTGATGTTACTGCTTTACTTCATCCTGAGGACAGCCCCATAAAGATGTCCACCCCAAAGACCCGCAAGTCCAAATATGGCATCTTTCAATCGGACCTGACGTGCCCGCCTGACGATAAAGAGAGTCCAATCAGGTGACGCATGCTTTTTCTTTAATCTGCCTCCCGATCTTATCCATTTTTAACATAAAAATAAAAATGTGTAATGTTTTTTTTCTTCTTTTTTTTTTTTTTAGGATGAAATTTACGCGATCCAGTAAAAATGTTTCCACATCTAAGGCTGAAGGCATAAATGCGTCTTTGCCTACTAAAGTAAGCATGGCATTTTTTTATTTTGTGACCTTGGGAAAAAATACTAAACCATCATAATTGTGGTGTGAAGATAATTAAACACTTGTTCTAATTCATCCTATTCAGACATCGAGTGAATCTAAGAAGAGAGAACAGGCCAAGAGGTTGGTGCAAAAAGCCAAAGTGATTCAGCAGAATAAAAAAACTTTGGAGGAGAAGAGCTCTCTGAGGCGCTCATCGCGAACTTCCATCAAGAGGAGCTACTGTGAAGATGAGGTAGAGTCAGTGGCAAGCGAGGAAGATGAAGTGTGTGTTAAGATGAGGCTATGAGTGAGTAGTGTTGTGTGACTGTGTAAACAAGAACTAAGGCAGACTGGTCTCAGATTACTGAGACTACAAAATCGAACGTAACTAATACACACGTGTGTTAATACACACTAAACTACACATTTATTTCTCAGTCATGTTGTGGATGTTTACTCAGTTTGTCCTTAAGGGTCTTCATAAGACATTACTTGGAGAACATTTACATGTGAGGTTTCGATGTCGATTGCAAGTTACTTTAAGATCATCTTTATTGTCACTGACATGAACAATGGAAGATATTTTGACAGCATAAATGTAAAATGTAAACATTTACATACAGTATAGTGCATAATTGAGTGCTCTAGTGCAGATAAAGGTGGGGATGGATCGTCAGTTCTTCATTCAAGACACATTTCACTGTGGTAGAGGTTTCAGAGGGGTCGTTATTTCAAACCTATGCCATAACTTTCCACCTGAAACAAATCCTCAGTCATTAGTCACCACTGACCCAGATGTTTTTAAAATCTGGGTTTAAAAATCTGAACAGTTATCAGTCTTAATGCATCAGGCCTAAATATTACCTCGCTGTCGCCCTCATGAGTCTTTCTGGAGTAAAACTTAAAATACAACACCATAAAAAAGGCTCTCTGTGTTTTTGTTTGGTTGTGTTTGTCAGGATTCTGTCATCTGCGTTGATGACCAGACTGCCTCTCCTCTCAAAGAACCTGAAAAGATGAAAACCCAGAAGCCTTTACGCAGTCTGAATGATGTTTTGGGCAAAGCCGCCCCACCTGGCAAAGCCTCTTCGGGTAGTTTTTATAGTTTCCTCTTAACTAAAACTGTGATTTATTGATTTATTTTGTAATATCTTCTAACAGATATGTGTTTCCTTTGTTTAAGGCTCCAGAGTGGGCTCACACAGCCAAGACAAGACTGCTCGCAAGGTGTCAGCCGTGATCTCCATCTTTGATGACAGCAGCCGCGAGGGCTCGGAGAACTCGCAGGATGATGAGCATTTCAGGGCGCGCAGAGAGTTCCTGAAGAGCGGTTTGCCCGAGTCCTTTAAAAAACAGATGGCCAAGACTGCTGCCACGAAGGAGGCATACTCTGCCTCCTGTTCCTCCTTTCAGCTAGTGACACACACCAGGCAACCACCAAACGGTAAGCAGATTCATATTCAGTAGTCGAATATCATGTTGGAGTTTTAAGGCAAAGCCTAATTTCTGTGCACACCGACAGATTGCTCTCTCTGGAGTCTGCCATGGCCCGAGTCCTCATTACTGTGTCAGCTAAAAGAGCTTTGGAGGCAAACATCCAAACCTCTGCCAGCAGTCAGCGGCTCGCTTTGTGTGAAGACTGCACCAGCCTGTCGGAGCTTTTGTAAAAGGGTACGCTGTTTTAATAACCTGATCCTCAACACCCATCACTTAATATCCAGCTTTAATCCCTCCCACCTAAAGGCACATGTATAATAACAATGTTATATTTTTAAAAAAGGATGAGTTTATATGAAAATGCAAGCTTAAAACCCCCTTTTGGCTGTATTGTACTGGGATAAATAAAGAGTGGACTTGTTTTGGTTGCAGGGTTCAGGCTGGAGACCTGAGATCTCTGAAAGTGTTCGTCAGCTTCTAGTTGAGGAGTTCAGCACCAGCAACCCTCAGTTCCCTGCACAGATGTTCATCGCTCACTTCCTGAAGAAACGCGCTGACCATCAGAAGCAGTTTACACACTCAGGTCAGTGTCTATAAGCAGATAAGTGCAAGGACACGTGTTAAACTGCAGTAGCTGTGTGTTTTAGGGTTTAATGACAGTCTGTTTAGTCCTTTTGACTGTAATTAATGTTCGCCTTGTTTGAGTGAAAATGGGACAAATGTGCTTGTCTTGAATTATCCTGAACAAATACTGAATTTTCCTTTCTCAGAAGAAGAGGCTGTGACCAGAGATGCAGCTGAACCAGCGGGAGGGAAGAGGAAAAGAACGAGTGAAGGAGAAAATACGGCAAAGGTGGCTAAAAAGCGGCGATCCAACCATTCAGAGGAGAACGTCTCCACAGCAGAGCCAACGAAGCGTGGAGGCCGTACAAGACGATCTCAGAGATCCAGGCGAGGAGAGGAGGAAGAGGCGACAGAGAAAACCAAGCCTCCACTCCATCCTGCTCCCATCCCACCTGACGATGACAGCGTGTGCATAGTAGAGGACTTGCTTTCAGGAGAGGACACTGGGAATAAAGGTGTGGTAGCTTTTCTATGTGTGTGTTCTGAATCACTGCTGTTACCTTAAAGAAGTCTGTAGTTCTTCTCAGTATATATCAGTATTTATCTGCTTTTGAGATGAAGTTTGTTTTACAGCCTGTTCTCTGCTGCCCCCAACTGGCCAAAAAAAGAAAAACAGTAATTGCAACTATAAATCCTCAGATTAAAATCTGAAACTCAGTCTGGTGTATTCTTTGTTTTGTTTTTTCCTACAGATGTGGTGAAGGAGGACGTGCTCTGGACTGACAAATATCTACCACAACACTCCAGTGACATCATAGGCAACACCGCCTCAGTGAGGAGGCTGCACAGGTGAGGAAATGCAGATGTAGATGACTCGTTTTTATAATGCTGTGCCTCTCATTTAAAAAAAACAAATCTGCACTGTATGGAGATCAAATACTGACTGTATATATTCTTTTTCGGCTAGCTGGCTGAAGGAATGGAAACTCCGTGCTGACAGAGAAGAAAGAAAAAAGCAGAAGGAGAAGAAAAAAGAGGACGGCAGCTATGGTGAGAGATAAGAACAACAATAAAAATCTTAACTACTACTTTTAGCTCTTTTAACTCTATTGATTTTTTTTAAATCCCCAGACTCAGACTGGGACGGTGGAGAGGACGACTCCCAGGATGGAGAGGACATGTTGTGTAACACAGTGCTGATCACAGGTCCCACTGGAGTAGGAAAGACTGCTGCAGTGTATGCTTGTGCCCAGGAGCTGGGCTTCAAGGTACAGACGTGTCACGTGACTCTGATGCGATGCGTTTGCTCAATGGATACCTGGATAACTTAAGTTCCTATATTGTCTCTTCAGGTGTTTGAGGTGAATGCTTCATCGCAGCGAAGTGGTCGTCTTATTCTGTCCCAGCTGAAAGAAGCCACTCAGTCACATCAGGTGGATAGTCAGGGGGTCAATGCCCACAAACCCACATACTTCAACAGCTATGGCACAAGCAGCAGCACCGGCTCTCTCAGACCTGGATCTTCTCCAAGTATGTGAAAATATCACTCTCTTGTTTTTTAAAATTTTACATTCTGCACAATCTGCATGAGAATATTACAAGATGACTCTCTGATCGTCTTTCAGGAAAGCTGAACTCCCCTCGCAGGGTGGTTTCCTCCCCCAGGAAACCGCAGTCGCCCAGAGGTGTTAAAAAAGGAAGCCTGACTCCAGTTTCTTTAGCTAAATTCTTTAAAACAGCGGCGTCCAGCACCAAGGAGCCACAAAACACTACAAAAGGTAAGCAGATGGGTACATTTTAATCTTCTTTGATGATAAAACCTGCATGAAGGGTTTTAATTGGGGACTTTATTTTTTCATTTCTTCTTCCAGCTGCTTCCAAGAAAGTTGGGAAAGCAAATGAGGCTGTCCTTCCTGTGAAATCACCACCAGCTCCCAAAGAGAAGGGCAGCGAAGAACAGAGCAAGAAGACGGCAACGTCGCTCATCCTGTTTGAAGAAGTGGATGTTATATTTGACGAGGACTCTGGATTTCTAGCTGCCATCAAGACGTTCATGACGACGACTAAGAGGCCAGTCGTCCTCACGACCAGCGGTTAGTCTTTCAGTGTGGCCTGTGCTAACGGTGTGTTTATCCACTGTTTGCATATTGAGTTTAAATGATGTTTGTTTTTGTAGATCCGGCTTTCAGCAGCATGTTTGATGGAACCTTTGAGGAGATACATTTCAAGGCCCCATCTCTGGTGAGTGGAGGGTTGTTCGGCTTGATTGTGTCGGCTCTGATGGAGTCATTCAGCCCAGCATTCATGTTTGGTTTTTTTGTTTGTTTGTTTTTTTCCTGCTACAGTTGAACGTGAGCAGTTACCTGCAGCTGCTGTGTTTGGCTGAGGACATGAGGACGGACCCCGCGGACATCCGGTCTCTGCTCAGACTCAACGGCTGCGACATCAGGCAGAGTTTGCTGCAGCTGCAGTTCTGGACTCGCAGTGCAGGCGGCCGCCACGGGGCAAGGCCTTTAGTGCCGACGGGCAAAAATGGTAAGAAGATGATCAGGGAGAGTTTGAGCTTTTAATACCTTCTGTTTTTGCATAATAAAATAATTTTCTGTAGCTGTGACTCGCTCTAAAAGTGTTTTCACCCTCATTTTATTAGAAACTGAAGTAAAGCCAGAAGCTGAAGAGGCAGCAGACAAATCCACCCTGCCTCCCTGTGACACTGGCTGCACTGAGAGCAAGCTGGGCCTGCTCAATAATGGACAAGAGAGAGACGTTTTGGAGCTGCTCAAGGTAAATTGTTCATTTACCACGCAGAGTGCATAACAGGCAGTCACGTCTATTAATGGATCGTGGCTCTGGTACTCAGGCAACAATTCCTGTCACTGCAGGGGCACCGGAAGTTTACTCACCGTACCTTCAGGCTGCTCATTCTTTCAAGTTAATTTTAGATGTATGGAAATACACTATCAAATAAAAGCACATTAACTGTGCACATTAGTTTGCAACTAAAGTGTGAAGCAGAACAGAAATGTCAGACTTTTAATTGTATTACACACATTTTGTAGCTTTTCCTGCTGATAAAGAGCTCCCTGTGGCCATTCATCCTGCATTAAAGTAATGAGATAATAGATTTCTATAAGTTTACACATTTACTTCTTAAAATTTAAGCCCAAAGAGTCGCAGTGACAGATTTCTTTCTGTTGAAATGCAGATTACTCAGGGATTAAATGTGCAGTTAAACCTCTGTACACTGACAGAAAGGCAGTTTCAAACTTTAATCTTACTCAAATCAGTTTGACACCCCTGATCTGTAGTGTGGACTTAGTCAATATTATTAAAATCTCATACAGGTAATTTGGCTGCAGTGACAAACAGAAACATGAATTAACTAGTAGTAGGTTGGACATCGTTCTGTGATCTAACATTAAATTACACCAAAGGAATCTCTGATTCCAGTAGGGAAAAATGTTTTTGTGAAATCAAGGAGTGGACGATATAGGAAGAAACGCGGACTGTCGTATCGATGCTTGCAGGACGCTGCAGTTAAAAGTGTCAGTAAATAAAAATCCTTCATCCTTCTTTTCCAATAAGCTGCTCTCAGTGATGACACACTCCCTAAGTAACATAACCTTAAAACCCTCCAGGAGATGCAGAATATTTTCACGTAATAAAACAGAAAAATATATTTCTACCTGACATGTTGTGCCTTGTAACCAGCTACCACATAACCACATCAATAATTTCCATCCCCTGTTTGCTCCTCCTCTCATATGGAGTGCCGAAAGTGAGAGCACCTTGCAACGCTTGAAGTCCTTTGTTTACATTTGGGTCACACATCACCAGCTCCTCGTATCACCTCCACGATTGATAATTTCACTCAGGAAATCATCAATCGTGACAATAAGGAGAATGATGTGCTGTGTTTAAAGGGGTGAAAATTGTATTTTGAAGAGTAGTATTGGACGCTTATATGGCCCCACACTTTGAATAATGTCTGGCTTTAACAGGAGGAAAAAGTAGACACAGTTTGTTGGTTTGAAAGTTCAAATGCTGTTATAGTCCTGCAGGACTCGCACAGCACTTTGAGCTGAGCTGAGTTAAGCGTGTCCAGTATGACTGAATGTGTGTTGTTTCTGCAGAGCCACAGTCTGGTGGAGGAGCCCAGTTGTTGTGAGCTGCTGACGGACTGCAAACGACGTGGAGTCGACTTGCTCTACTCGAACATGGAGCTCCTTTTACCTCTGCCGCTCACACATCTGACTACCTCTACCCGCAGCCCAGAGCAGTGCGCTTCTGTATCGCAAGACCAGCCTTCTGCCAGTCCGAAAGAGCAACCGTCATCCACGCTGCTATCGACAGAGTCAGCTGATTGCTCAGACAGCAACAGTCCAGTCAAAATGTCTAACAGGATGAGGAAGAACAAGAGGAGACACCATCTACCTGACCAAGCTGGAGCTAACTCTGACTCAGACTCAGAAGATAGATTTCTTTCTCTCTGTAAGCCTCAGAACGCTCCTCAGGCCAAAGAGAAATTCAAAGCTTCAGAAAGGGCTAAAAGGAAGCCGCTGACTCCTGAGGAGCGCTTAAAAAGCCTCCCAGTGTCACAGTGTCTGGAATCAATAGCAGACTTTTTAGACAGCATGTCCTACATGGACTCGTTGCTCGACAGGGCTGACAGTCACAGAGGTCTGTCATCTGTAAGTGTGGTCATAAAAGATGGGATGACAGACGAGTCAAGTGTGGAGGCTGAAAGAGGGAGCTCGATGACAGCAACTGGCCTGGAGATCCAGGCGGCGGTCGAGGCTCTGAGCTTCCGCAAGTTCCGGGTATCAGCAGAGGAGGCTTTGGAGAGAACACGACAGCTGGAAGGGGAGCTGGCCAAAGAGGCTGCAGCAGAGCTCAGCCTCCCCGTGGCTGCTCATCGGGAATGTTTCAGCTTCACACAGGACGGGCCCTCAGAGCCACAGTGAGTTTGGACCCCGAGAAAATGCCACGTTGCCCAACAAACGTGTAAAAGTAGTTTCAATGGTTTTAGCTGACGTTGATGTCTGGTGTTGCTTTCCAGGTTGGTCGAGCGGAGGAGAGAAGTGATGGAGAGTCTGATGCTGAAAGGAGTGTTTGGTACACTTGGCAACAGTCCACCAGCTGCTCTGGACTATTTACCAATCATGCGCTGCATCTGCAGATCCGAGAAGCTTAAGGAGCAAGGCAAAGTTAAGCGAAGGTGAGGACAGAATTGCTGCTCCTTCAGCCGGTCAGCGGTGGCGGGTTTGGATTTGAACCGTTGTCAGGATGTGGTAAAGATGACGGCGGTGGTAGTGAGGTTTCATTTTGTCACATTTGAATATGAGGCTACAAATAAATAAAATAAAACGTGGTGCATTAATGCAAGTCATTTATATGAGTCCACAGATAATGCTGAGCTGTTTATTTTCCGCCTCCTCCAGGTTTCTGCACTACCTCGACGCGATCCACTTGGGTCTCGAAAAAAGGACTCTACAGCTGCTCGCTGAAGATTTCCCCTAAAACAACAAAGACGACCAGACTGGACTCCACAGTCACACACAGGCCCTCAATAAGTACTCTCTGGCTCTCAGAAGGACTGGTGTACAGATCTAAATAAGTGTGTGTCATCCTCTGAGATGGTGACAGAGCACACGGTCAGAGGCGTGTGAGCACAGAGGACCGCTTCCACATTGGTACCAACATAGAGGCGACTGAATAGTAAAGATTTAATCTGAGCTAAAGGACGGACAACTAACTAACCTCACTTGTGTCATCTTTTGGTGCTCTAAAAACTAAAATTTTACAATTTTGTCATCTTTATATTTTTGTACAGTAGTGCTCTATAGGGATGCGTATCGGTGGTTTTTATTTTGCAAAGTGCTGTTTTTATGAAGTAAAAAAATGTTTCTTCTTCTTCTTACTAAGCCCCTGGGGTCCCTCGTGTGTGGGTGTGTGCAAAATATAATTTGTAAGTTACTGAATTGAAGTGCACATGCATGTCTGGCAGCTTCAGATGTCTGCAGCCAGCACATCTTTCTGCACAATAACTTACAATTAAAGGAATTAAAAGAAACAAAAACAAAAAAAAACGACTTCACGGGCTCCATGCTTTACACCACATGTAAGAGATTAACATGTAAAATAAATCTTGCTTCTGTATTTGTGTAAATTGTCACTGATTTATTTCTTTTATTATTATTTTGGTTCATACAGTTAATAAAGACGTGCAGCTCTTGATCTAAAGCTTACTGTGACATCATCAGTCATTTTGCTGTCTTTAATGCTTTAAATATGGACACTTTCTTCACCACAGTGGGGATTTCCTTACACAGCAATAAACGTTTATCATCCAAACAAGCCTAATGGTGTCATAAATCTGCTAAATTTAACAGGCTTCCGTGTAAATTGGCAGCGCGCTCGCATCTGCGCGGCGGGCAGACCGGTTTGTGGTTAGTTTCCTCTTTACCTTCATCACACAGAGCAGCAGGGGTGCTCTGTGCACAAAGGTGCATTGTTTTTAAAAAAAAAAAAAAAAAATCAAAGGGAGCACCCTCTGTGACAAGCTCGCAGCTGGACGCGCTCCAGAGGGAGGAGGGTGGAGGTCCGCTTCGCGTTGAGGCATCCAAAACTCTTCTGTCGCAAGTTCCACTTTTTCTTTCTTTTTAAATTTTTTTTCTTAGTCGCCTTTTGTTGTTTGTCGCACCATGTGACCGCCACGCTCAAGTTCAACCGCGGGATCCATCAGTGTATGAGCCTGACTGTGCAGAGAAATGGCAAACCGTGAGCGGAACAAAAAGATTTTACTGGAACTGGTGAAACAGTCAGACAACAGCCGGTGCGCTGACTGCGGCGAGCCCGGTAAGCAAATATATAAACGTTGGTACGTTTGTTATCGAAATAAAGTGAGGCGCGGATCCGAATTTGATGTGCGGGTACTACTCAGAGGCCTCGAGATGTTCAGATTTGATTTATTTTCATGCAGTTTAACCGGTTTGTTAATGTTATTTATGAGGCTTGAAAAGACTGTTGCTCTGCGTGAACGCGTGCACCCTGAAGCATGTCCGTCACGGCTAAAGCTTCTTGGTGATGGGCTGACATTGAGGGGCTGAAAAGGGTTTCCTGTTTTTGAACTTGAAAACTTAATACTTTAAAACTCAAAAGTCACTTTCCCGGGCATAGATGAGGCCTAATTGTCAACTAAACATTTACAGATTTAAGTGGAAATCTTAAATGATTAATTCGATTTTTTATATGTTCTTAACCTGCTAATAGAGTGGCGGGAAGAAGTATTTATCTGAGTCATGTCTCTTCTTCTCACCTCTCCCAGAACCGGACTGGGCCTCCTACAAGTTGGGAATTTTTGTGTGTCTGAACTGCTCCGGGATCCACCGCAGCCTGTCCAGCCATGTCAAATCTATCAGGCTGGACTTCTGGGAGGACAAACTAGTAGAGGTGATCACTGTTTTTGTTTCAGTCACCCACCTCTATTTGTGCTGTATCAGACTGTGTGTGTGTGTAATCCTAATGTGTGTGTGTGTGTGTTTATTCTGGGGGGTGGAAGTTCATGGAATCCAATGGCAATGCCAGGGCCCAGGCTCAATATGAGAAAGCTGTTCCACCGTACTACTATCGACCCCAGCGGGAAGACTGCAAGTAGGTCTTTTCCAGGATGATGATATTTACCAGCCTCTGTCGCCATGGCAGAATCCTTTATGTGTAATACCAGACTGCTGACAAGGCAGAGCCACAAAGTAGAGAAGTGAGAGCTTCTGGCTGTAGAAGAGAAATATAGATGAATTTCTGCTTCTAAATCAAGCTTCAATGATTCAGGTTTTTGTAAGAACACATTGCTATTGAACTGTGAATACTTTTATATTTTCACTTTGATCCACAGTATCCTCAGGGAGCAGTGGATCCGTGCTAAATACGAGAGGAAGGAGTTCACAGGAGAGACCAAGTATCCACCGCTGCCATACACCACAGGTGACTTTTTTAACGATTTACTTATGAACTCTTTGGGGCTCACATTCTTGTCAGTATCGGGGTAAAGGAAAACCTGTTCTTTGCATGCAGAACTGTGCCAGAAAAACCCGTTCTTTGCACAATGAACCATCCAGGAAGTGAAATCTAGCCACTGTCTCTTTGAGCAACCAGAAGGTTTTCATTTTAAGTGAAACCTTTTTTCTTATTCCCCTGTGACTCTCTTGGATTCATACTAGGGTTCTATGAAGGAATACTGTTGAAGAAAGGCAAAGACAACACACAGTTTCTGAAGAGAAAGTTCGTGCTGTCGGAGAGAGAATTCACCCTGAGCTACTACAACAAAGAAGATGTGAGTTCCCTGCAGCTTTGACACAGTTACACCACCCGCTAGAACATGAATCACCAAGAGCGATGACCCTTAAATACTGCATAATGTGTAGTTATTATGGCGTAATCATTGCTTGTGTTGAAGAAATTAGATCTTGTATCTAAGCTCTTTGTTTATCTTTTGCACACACAGCTTCAAATGTTTCTTCAAAGATCTATTGTAAGCAGAAAAGCCACCTTAGAATCAGTCAGTCAGTTTCCTATAGCTTCACATACACCAGCAACTATAAAGGCAACGGTCACCATTTACCGGAGGAAATTCAGCTAATTTGGTTTTAGTTTTACCGCTAAAGGTCAAACAAGGAGATTTTTGGTACTCGTCCACAGATGCTTATCAGATTATCAGGTTATTACCATAATCAGCCGTCTGCCATGGCCAGCTGAGGTGAAAGGAGGGAAATGGGATAAAAGACACACTGTGGAAGCAATAGTCTTATCTTAGGATTTATTTGACTAATTTCACTTCGATATATGGTGGATGTTTCCATCTGAAATTCATAAACTTGGATGATTTTTATTGCAGAAAATCAGGGTAATAACTGGCTCACAACAAGATAACGGCAGCAATAATAAGAAGTTGCACACATGAAGTGTCCCTTACACATTACGGGGCCTTATCTATATTATTTGCATCTGCATTGAATCCATGTGGAGCCTATGACATAAGCCTATTCAACTGGTCAACGCCACAGATAAACCTGAGCAGCTGTGATAATGGCGACATGCTGTTACATTTCTAGAGAGGAGCGTGTCCGGTTAAGACGTAGAGTTTCAGAAGAGTTTTAATGCAATTCGTTTCACTATAGCTCTCATAAACGTAAAAGAAAGTTAAAAAAGAACTAGAGGAAAAGTGAGAAGATCACTAAAGTAATTTGGATTCATCCTCTGGGCATCATGAATGTCTGTGCTCCAACTGATGCTGAGCAGTTTCGATCTAAGTGACATTGAGCCAGTTTTTCCAGCAACAACAGCTGTATAAACTGGATGCCTTCCTGTTATGCCTCCCTCTGGGCTTCAACCAGGGATCCTTCACTTTTTATGCGCCTGTGGTAATCACCACTTGCAGCCAGCATGGCTCAGACAAGTGTAAAAACAGCAGCACAAAGCCTCCAAATCTGAACTGCCCTTGTGTATTTGTTACAGGAGACTAAAGGCCCCAAAGCTGTAATATCCATCAAGGACCTGAACGCCACCTTTCAGCCAGAGAAGATCGGCCATCCTAACGGACTGCAGATCACCTACCAAGACGGGGATCACACCAGGAACCTCTACGTTTATCATGAGCGTTCTGAAGTCAGTCGACATGATCGTCTATAGCATCAATATTAACACCTGGTAGGTCTCATATACTTGTTTTGAGGTTCTAATAGAATCTCAAAGTTTTTGTTTTTGCTTTACTTCAGGAAATAGTCACATGGTACAACGCGATTCGAGCCGCTCGCTATGCGTACTTGAAGACGGCCTACCCGACAGGAAGCGATGAAGAAGTAAGTGTCAAACTATTTCATTTTAAGCCAGCTGTATGTCAGTTTTTAGCTTGTATATTTTAGTATTTGACATGTTTACTGTCTTGTGTCTTCATCAGCTGTTACCAATGATAACAAGAAACTACCTCAAAGAGGGTTACATGGAAAAGACGGGGCCTACGGTGAGCTCACTGAAGTCACTCGAGCGTCATTTGCACACCTATATTATTTCTCTTTTACTTTGATTTTTACTCACACTCACCAGCAAAGTTGTTTGTGACTACATTATGTGTGATCAGTACATCTGAATGTGTTTCTGTTCCTCTTTTAGACTCTGACTCACATGTGCGTGCAGCTCGAATCTTTTTTCTTTTTTAAGAATCAGTTTGTGCGATAGGAGGTTTTGAGGAAATGAAGTCTGATGAGCACATTTTTCAAATGCACATTTTATTTTTTAAATCAAATGCTTTTTATTTTATTTTGTATGCAGCAAACAGAGTCATTCAAAAGGAGGTGGTTCATTTTAGACTCTCAAAACAGGAAGTTGCTCTACTTCAAAGGCCATCTGGTGAGGACACTACCTCTTTTTTCCATCTCACTCTAACCCCACACTGTACACCTATGAAGTATGTGAGTCATGTGCTTTTTCTTGTTGTAGGATGCAGAGGAGCTAGGGGCCATTTTTATCGGCACAGAGTGCAAAGGTTACTCGGTTAAGGAGTGTGTCCCGCTGAACGCCCGGGGAAACAAGTGGAAGTGCGGATTGATGGTGGAAACGCCCGAGCGACAGTTCGTCTTCATGTGCGAGCAGGAGAGGGACCAGAGGGAGTGGCTGGAAGCGCTCAGGAAGGTTTTGTCCAGACCCATGTCACCCCAGGATTATACCAGTAAGCAAGACTTCAGTGTGCTTTAAATATGCTGGTGCCCAATTTTCCATATTATTTTTCTTTGTATTCAAAGGAAAACTTGAACTCCATTAACTAAATACTGTACATGGCCACTATTTAATCCTCCACAGGCACAACCCATAACCATCACCCCATTTTACAGAAACGTTTGGACACTGTGGAAATTATCAGTAAAAGCAGAATGACATATTTTGCACAAATTTAAAATCTTATCTCTTATCTATGATGTTGAAACTGGGAAAATGTGTTGGGTTTTGCTCATTTTGAATTTAATGGCAGGAGCACATTTTAAAAAAAGTTGGGCGAGGGGGATTAAATAACTTGAAAAGTTGTGTAATGCTGTAAAACAAACATCTGATGGAGAGTGATGACAGTAAATAGTTTAAAATACTATTTATTGTCTATTTAATCCATTACTGACCATTTAATCCAGGGGTGGGCAACTCCAGGCCTCGAGGGCCGGAGTCCTGCAGGTTTTAGATCTCACCTTGGGTCAACACACCTGAATCACATGATTAGTTCATTATCAGGCCTCTGGAGAACTTCAAGACATTTTGAGGAGCTAATTTAGCCATTTAAAATCAGCTGTGTTGGTTCAAGGACACATCTAAAACCTGCAGGACACCGGCCCTCGAGGCCTGGAATTGCACACCGCTGATTTAATCCATCATTGGGATTGTTTCCAGTCCCTATAAGGCAGGGGTGGACAACTCCAGGCCTCGAGGGCCAGTGTGGCTGAAAACCTATATTGCATGACAATTATCTTTAGGTCCAGTCATGATTCTGGTCGCGCTTTATGGTTTTCTCACTGCTGCGCACAAAAATGCAATTTTGCCTTTTTCCTTTTACTTTGTGAAGAAAAAAAATTTTATACTTCAGGAACATTGCCACCTTCTCTGGACCTTAGTTTTTTAAGGCATCACTCACCCAGGCCTAGAGACCCATTGGCCAACCAATGGGTCTCTAGGGAAAAATGTGTATCCCCTCCCTGATTGGCGAGTAGTTGCTAGGTGACACACTCACAATGAAGGATCTGCACTAAAAATCTCTTCATGATTGTTCTGGTTGCTAGCACATGGACTTGCAGGGATGACATTTTGTTTGATAAGTGTTGCTAACTACTGGCTGAGCTGCAGTGAAACTTAAAAAAGTGCAACACAAACTGGAAATGGAGAACTTTCACTTTCAAAAATTCCAGCTTTACTGCTTCAACCAGTTCCATTACAGTAGTGCAACCTTTACTCTGAAGGTGAAGGGTCTCCGTTCAAAAGCTTGCATCTCTGATGGTATGGAGGCACATCAGTGTCCATGGAATTGGTAGCTTGCGCATCTAGAAAGGCAGCATTAATGCTGAAAATACATACAGGTTTTAGAGCAGGGGTGGGGGAACTCCAGGCCTAAATGGCCAGTGTCCTGCAGGCTTTAGATATCACCCTGGTCAACACACCTGACCACCCTTGAGGCCTGGATTTCCCCCACCCCTGTTTTAGTGCAACACATGCTCCCATCCAGTATGCTAAACCACATACTGCTCAGTTTAAAGATTCATTATCTATTGTGTTCTACTGTGAATAAAATATGTGTTTAAGTTGATATTTCCAAATCATTTGAATCTGTTTTTATTTATATTTCACACAGCACACTCCCATCTACTTTTTTAACTAGGGTTATATTTGGTTTCAATGAAGGAACCTTGACATGTATTTACTTAAGATATAGTGTGCAGCAGCAAGACACATGCTGTCTGTAGCTGTTTCTGTCTGTCCGAGAAGAGGCAGAGAGAAAAAAAGCATCTTGTGTTATCACAGTTACAGTATGTATTTTTGGCCTTGTTTAGCACATTCAGATATGGTGTTGGTACGTTTTTAGGTAATATTTTAAGCCCTTAGTTGGCATGCTTATCCTCTAAATGTGCAAAAGCAAAGTGCCTCAAGCAATCTGGCCTCCCTGCTACAGCTTTAATATACATATGTAATCATTTATAGAAAGCTGTAGTAGCTGATCGTTAGTGTGTTAAGCTCTAATGATATTCTTTCTCATTCCAGCTGAAGCCGTCATGAAGTATAAGCGATGATCGATGAAGCTGCGAGCGAGAGAACAGACCTGCTGTCGGCTGCACTGACTCTCAGTACTGACTGATTCATGCTGTGCAGAGCATTAAAGGGCTTCAGTACGCTCACTTCAACTGACACTGTTTCTAATGCTAAAATAAGGCCTCACATGTGTTTATCATTATACATAAAATGCATTCTGCTGTTAAACACCTGATCAGCATTGATATATCACTGGGTACACCCATGCTGTATATGAATGTATTTCTAAATTTTAATAAATTTATTTTGGATATTTAACGAGTGGATACATTTATATTTGAAAGTGAAGATGCTACATGACACTATGGCCACAAAATAAATGTCTTTTTTTTGAATGGTGTCTTTTTTGCAAGGTTTTTTTTTCCATGTGCAGACAAATTGCAAACACTTATTAGAAATGGTGCTAATGAATCAAGATTATGTCACAATATCACAGCTTTTTAAATCAATGCCATTTTGGTGTTTGCTCTTTCTTGTTCCTCAATTATTTTTTATTTATTTATTTTTTAACTGAAAATTTTCTCATGCTGCCTTTAGGGGTCGCCAAAGCGGACCATCTGCATCCATCTCTGTCACACCAACTATGTGCATGTCTTCCTTCACTACATCCATCCAATGAAAATTTGAACATGAGCTCGAAAACAAAATAACGTTTATAAAACATTATTTGACTTGATGCTTCCATAAACACCCTGAATGTGGAAGAACATGGATGGATGGAAAACCTCAGCACTGATATAACAGGCTGCCTGACAGAAACTACGATGCCTTGGCATGAAAACACTTCATCCAGCTTTGTCCATATATCCTGTTTTGGGGGAAAATACTAGCTGAGCTGTTTAACGTGTAAAGCTGTTCACAAAAGGTAAGAAATATAGATATCATTTTAAAGCAGTCATCTTATCAACCACATAAAACCAAGTATATTGTTTGCTGCTTGTTTTAGTAAAGTTTTAATTTTTAATATTTTATTTGGACACGCAGGAGACGCCAAATCATTGCACTTCCACGTTTTAAATCCAGGGAGCAGCACAGAGTGTTTTCTTTTCATGTTTTTAAAATTTCTGGTGCGCGTTTTGTCCTGTCTGGCTTGCCGTAGATACCCGGTCTTGTAGGTCGGGCATGCCCGTGAACCATCCACTGCGAAATCCTCTGCCAGCGCCTTCAAGAGAGCGATAAACGTGCGCTTACAGAGATATGTGACACATACTGCATTAAACGTTGTCTTTCTGTCCAGCGGATAAGCAATAAGTTCAACAGAAGCGTGCGGAAAATTGCGAGCAGGACCCGAAAAGTGTCCGTCCGTTTTGTCCTACAAAGGCGCGGAGTGTTTGACAGCGGCAGGGCCCAACGGTAGTTAACTGCCTAAGGAGGAGGACGGCATCCAGAGGTCTACATGAAACAATAAAGACGGTCCTCTGTGCAGGAAAACAAGTGCCAACATGAGGAAGGACGTGAGGATACTCCTTGTAGGGGAGCGTAAGTAGCAACTTCTTTAATCTTCACTAGCTAATATGCTAGTAGCTACAGCTACTTTGTATCAGTTACATATCGTGTGATGAGCTGTGAGAGTCAGCGGAATAGCTTCATTATCCCACAGAGCTTGATAATCACACACTTCGACTGGTCCTGTTATTAGAATAAATAGCAGGCTTTGTTTATATCGAGCGGCCAAATCATTATCACATGGTCCATGACAGCTGCCTCATCAGGGCTTACATGCACTGCTCGGCTCGCTGCTTCTTATTTGAAGGGAAAATATGAGCCAAACAGTCCAGTTTGGAGTATAGACATCACTTTAACTATTTTATGTTGATATCTGTAGAAAATGTTTGTGTACCATTTTTGTGGCTTGTGAGTCATTCTCAAAGTATGTGTAATGGGATTCAGGGAGAGTCTGAAACCATGCATGCACAATTACAAGTCAGTGAGGGTGGTTTAACATATTATTGTAGTATTTGTTAACATGATAATGATCTGAAGGCAAACCTCTGTGTGTTCTAAAGAGTCCTAAAACAGAATATCAATACTACAAATTAGATGAGATACAAGTATTTGTATTTGTATTTTTTTTATATTTTTATTTTATTTTTTAAAACTACAGTTGCTTTAATTGGTTAATTACTGTAATTTGTCTTATCGGAGTCAAGCGATGAGGATTTAGGAGGATGTAAACTGAGTTTATTAACTAAAGTGCTCTTAATTGTAATACAGCCTTGGTAAGCAAAGCAGAGAAGTAATTAAGTGGTAATAAACACCCCCAGACATCGCAGGGTATAATAAATATGTGAATCATGATTTTTTTTTGTGCCTCTTTATTTGTATTTTTGTAGGTGACATATTCTGGTAGTTCTGTATTATTAAGTGATTGAAGGGCTATTGTGCCGATTAGATGGTGTAAGAGTGTCTGAAAGTTTGAGCTGTGACAAAGATCACAGGAATTCAAAGACTTCTGGGAAAACCCTGAAGTTAAGGTCATTCTGTGGTATAAAAAGTTGTATTGGCTTAAGATAACATAACACATGATAAGATAAGGTAAGAAATACTTTATTCATTTCAAAAATTGGGAAGCTCTTGTTGAAATGAAACAGTCTATAGTAAAATAGTTTGAATAAACAGAATAAATATTTAAGCTTGTTTAAAAAAATACAGGAATTATAAAGAAATTTCACATAAAAACTACACAAGAGAAAGAGGGTGAAAGAATCTAAACGCACTGCTATTACAAAAAACGTTATCTCTTATTAAAAAAATATTAACATCTATGTAGTACAATGAAGCAAAATATCTTATTTAGTAAGTCAAAATAAAATATAGTTTAATACATTTAGCAAGAAAAAAACGACAGCAAATGAAAATGTTAATGTTCATTGTTTGTCAAATGTTATTTTCTTTGTCTTGTAAAATGGTTCACGTAAACTACCCGAAGCCCAAAGTGATCTCCTCACTTCACTCTTGTTTTCTTTGGACCCAGAGCTTCAGAACCGGGAAGCTTGAAGCAGAAGATATTAAATAAATCATCCATCCATCCATTTTTCATCTGCTTAAACAATCAAGGTTCACCTTGCCTATTGCAGCATACATTGGACAGCTTGGCACACTGGCTGCTCATCTATCACAGTGCTTAAATAAATGATTTGAACTTTTATTTTGAAGAGCTGTTTGTTGACCAAATGTGCCAGTTTTACATGGCAGAGGATATTATGGGTAAACGGCTGCATGTTTACAGATCCTGACCTTTTGAAGGACTTTGAAATGACCTGTAAAGCCAGCATGTCCCACCCTGCGTGTTTCACCGTGTCTGTTTGTTCTCTTTTGAGCACACATGTTGACAGTACTATTTATATTCAAGTTGTGGCTCTTCAGGATGGCACACATTGCTACTTTAGGAGAGTTAGTGCTTAAGGAGGTGCAGCCAGAAAGCTACGTGCCAGCCTGTGTGTTATGAAGTTCAGGTTGTGAGATTAACTGTGAACACACCGAGAGGCAAGTGGCAGGGAAACGCAGGGCTGCAGTTTCAAATAATTGCAATTGACTGTTAACTTCTATAAAAATGAACAAATATAAAAAATATGCTGTCACAGGAATCAGCAGTGATGTCAGGGAAGTGGTAGCTTTGTCCAACTCACGATTCAAAAGTAAGTTTGCTGGAAAAAAGCAAATCGCCACATTTCCAAAGCTGTAAAACGCTCATGCTTCAGGGTGTTTTGGCTTCATTTATTGCATTGTGGGATTCGACTAATCGTTCAGTCAACACATCATTTCACTCCCAGTCCTTAGATCTAGAGTTTGAGGTTTTTCTTGATAAATACTCCCTGTATTAACAAAACGGCAATGGCCGCGTCCTGTGTGTGATACAGATCATGTTGTTGTCGGCTGTTTACCTTGATTGTTATACATTTATTTTTTATTTTTTGTAAATGTGCAGCCTATCCCAGCGATCGTAGGGCGAGAGGTGGAGCAGACTCTGGACAAGTCTTCAGTTCATCACAGGGCTAACACAGAGAGACAGACAATAACAACTTAGAATCAACAATTACCTTAACCCCACTAACTGCATGTCTCTGACTCTGGTAGGAAGCCAAAGTACTCAGAGAGAGCCCACACAGACACGGGGAGAAAATAGGGCTGTGCGACGTGACCAAAATCTCATATCCCGATATAAGAATTCTATCGTCCCGATAACGATATAAATCACAAAAATGTAACATTTTCTGGTGATTCTGTGAATCTCGGGCAGCTCGACTTGCGGGAAGTGTTTCCAGCTGCGCGTCATGTAGCTGTTACCGTCGTTGTTGCTAACCACAACGCATAAAAACAGACGCTTGTCCGTCTGTAGTATGGTTATATTAAATATAAGAGAAAGAGAGAACTTTAAGGAAATTAATATAGCCACTCGTAAACAGCTTATTTTGCGACACCACGAAACAAAAGATAGCGTAAAATGAAACGATAGACCTTTTTATATCGTCATCCGATATATATCGTTATATCGAACAGCCCTAGGAGAAAATACAAACTCCATACAGAAAGGCTCCGGCCAGATTAACATACATGGAGTTTAACTCAGGAGCTTTTTTGCTGTGAGGCAACAGTGTGGACTACCACACCTTAACATCTTAAATCCCACTAAATCTACACTAATTTGAGTTTAAAACTACTCATTTACATGACTTTACATGACTTTACTTTCATCATTTCTGGATGTTTTATTCACATAACAGTGTAGCTCTTTGACCTGCCTTTCCAGTGCAGGCCTATTTGCAGACTGCGTTACCTCTCGATGTTCTGGATTCACTGGATGGTGGCCTTTAGTGAGCGCTCAGCTGTGATCGGTGGCACTTGGCTGCAGCTCTTCAGCTGCTCTTATCTGTTCCTGTCATTTCACACATCACCAGGATCTGTCATGAAAATGGCAGAGAGTGTTTCCATGTTAATGACCCTGTTCTGTCTTTTTCTTGTTGTGCTCTACAGCTAAGGTGGGGAAGACGTCCCTGATTATGTCTTTAGTCAGTGAGGAGTTTCCAGATGAGGTATGTGTGATGAGGCACTCTGGTTATGGTTAAAAGCCTCCTTTTGAGTGTTCACTGTTGACTGTCATTTTATCATTGTTTGACATCATTGTCCTGTTTTCCAGGTTCCACTCCGAGCTGAAGAGATCACCATCCCAGCCGATGTCACCCCGGAGAGGGTGCCCACACACATTGTGGACTACTCGGGTATCTCCCCCCTTTACACACAGTCTTTCAAACTGACACAAGAACAGTGTAGCTAATAGAAAGAAGCCCATTCAAATCCTTCCGGTACAAGGAAGTATTGAGTGT